ATCCAATGCACAATCCCCCTTAGCATACATTCACATACACAAATTCCCCTGATTCTCGAAACACTTGAACACCCACACTTACACTGGAAAACACACCTTCTTTTATGTCCTGTTGTTCTATAGAGCGACCAAACAGCTGGTTGCAGAAGTCATCAGTATCTGATCTGCTTTAGTGCGCTCCCAGCTTGTAATAGAGGATAATTAGAATTTTAATTTGCCTGGGCAAAGAGAGCTGAAACCCAACACCCCCCCCCCCTTTGTTTTCCTCAATCCAACCCCCTCCAGCTCTTAGCGGGCGAGTGCCATCGGTAACAGATGGGGAAAGGGAGATATTCACAGCTAGGCAGCCACTTCAGAGCTAGTCAGTCCCCCATGGTCTGAGCCTCCACCGGCACAGCCTTAAGGCATTGGGTGTTGGGATTAACAATCAGTCTCATGGGCCCTGTGTCCTGGCCCAGTCCTCCCTCTACATGAGGAGTTCCTCCAGCCTTTTAGCAATTAAGCTCTTTGATCAGCTTATAGTTGTGTGCCCAGAAGATTTATAATAGCGTCAACCTTTTTATATGTCCACTTCTTTTATTTAACTCTCTATTGCAAAGCAAACATGGGATGATCTCTGACACATCTTTTAAACACTAGTGTGCCAGGCAATTTTGTAATTTCTGAATTAATGCAATTATGCTTTTCCTACCCGCTCATTCCACTATCTTTCACAAGACACGTGTGACTCTGTTTTAGTCATTATTGTCATTTCTCAAAAACCTGTTCTCTTGCGCAAACTCTTAACATCAGACCAGTGGGAGAACAGCTTGTGTTTAACTGTGACTCATTCCCTTCCTCATAAGCACAAAACGTGGCGTGCTGAAATCCACTCTGTGTGTGTGTGTGTGTGTGTGTGTGTGTGTGTGTGTGTGTGTGTGTGGGCTCAGAGGGCGATTGAAAAGGGAGAGACAGCAAAGGTTAGAAATCCTTACCACTCTGCCATCTCTGGCCTCATTCATTCCTATAACAGAGACTCTCGTTTGTGCTTGCCCAACCCAAAGTGTGGTATGTTCTGTAGCTGATGGCTGCCTCCTCTTCCCATTGTTTGTTCTACATAGCCTCTCCCTCACACGCAGAACTATTGGTCAACCTGCCATGACATGTCTGCTTTTGCCTTGCAATTGCTCAGGGCCACAGTGCGCCATGATACTGACGTTTTTCTCTCTCTCTTTCTCCCCTCCCCCCTCTCTTTCTGCCTGTTTATCTGATGAGGAATACCTTTTCCCATCACTGTCTTTCTCTCGTGTTTTGTTTCTCAGTTGCTTAATCTCCTCATTACTTTCTAGCCTCACATTTCTGTTTCCTGGTGAGTTGCAAAAGCCGTACAAATGCTTTGATGTTGAAAATATTTATATATTTGTCTCATTTGTAATTTTTAATGCCATCTAACCACACAGCCAGTTGTGTAAGTGCAGTAGGTGCAAATGACATTTGGAAAACCCAGATGATGGAACTGTCAGGTTTGCACAGGAAAAACAAGGTTTTCCTGGCGTGAGAGGAAGAGCCTGGTTTCAAAATGGACATTTTACTGGCTTCATGGCTTGTCAAGACTGACTCTGACTTAAACAACCTCTGTGCCCCGATCTCTCTGTAAGATATTCCTCGACTGGGTTAAGCCTGACACTGTCACTGTTTCTTAGCGCATTATCAACTGATCCCATGCTAATGCAGTGACGTTCATTGTAGGTTTAACAAGAATATAAACAGCTGATTTGCTTAAAGCTACAAGAAACACTGTATGTAAAATTATGCTGATGAGGAGCTAGATTATGTTGTATGTTCTTCCTACTGGAGCTGAGTCTCTGGTCTCTTCAGTGTTACCCTCCTCCAGCAGTTCACACTTTGTGCTCTGATCTGGTCAGACTTTTGTGTGAAAGAAGCCTTTGTTACTTAAGTTTTCTGGTATTGGCAAGGCAAGTTTTAAATATGGTATGGTATTAATAATATAGAAAAATATTACTGTATACTTTTTTTATATGAAAAGGAATATAAAATACTTAACTATGCACATGCCTTTTATTTCTAAGACAATCCTGCAGATAAGAAAGCAATTCAAAATCAAAAGATGATGAATACCTTTAACACTAATCTGTTTTCTACAGTCATATTGACTGCCTTGCTGCGCACCACAAAAGATCTTAACAGTGGTCGTTGGCTAGAGGCTATTGTCTTAAACTGCCCCCTTAGGCCTTTTTGTCTCCCGCTGCCTCCCAGTATGGGGTCGTCAATTAATCACTTTTACCACCACCCCCATTAACACAATCTCCTCCTCAGAGGGCCTTCAGTTGCCCTGAAGCAGCTCAGTGAACAACTGCTCAGGTCATGGTGTCAAATGGCATCCAGAAATCTGGGTTTGGAGGTAGTGTTGGTGCCGGTGAGAGAAAAAAGCATGGATGTGTTTGAGTGAGAAGGATTAATTCTGCTTTAACACACAAACCTTGCTTATGTTGTATCATATTAAACACAACTTCAGCTTGGGTTTGAGACATTAAACCAGACTGTTAGCTGAATCCTGGGTAATCAAAATAAGTAATTTGATGAAGTCGAACTTTCACTACTTTGACTATTTTACAGGCTAAACAATAAAGCGATTTAATCAAGAAGATAATCAGCAGATGAGTTGATAATGAAAAGAATAATTAGTTGTAGTACTATAACACATTATCTTGGGAAAGAGAAAGATAGAGCTTGAGTAGGCCAGCGCTGACCTTCAGTATATTCAGTAGTTGTTGTATCATAACTATAGTTTGAGAATCAGAATCCGCTTTATTTGCCAGGTATGGGTACAATGCTCACAATGTGCTTACTTATACAATAACACAATAATACAGTAATAAAATCAAACACAGGCTACAGTATAGAGAACACGTATATACACACTATAACAAAACAGACAGATATAGTATACCTGCGGTAAGCCGTGTTAGCACTTCTTATACACACACCAAATCTGTCCCCAGCTGAATTCAGTAACACACCCTTTGGTATCACACGACTTAGTCCTGGGAGTGTCTTTGTTTGTGGGTGTTGACTTTGTTTCGCGTGTGTGTGTGTGTGCGTGCGGTTGAGTAGGTCGCTCGCGCATTTGAGTGTTTGCATTTAATCTTGTGCTGCCAGCTTAGAGCGACGTTTCTCCCCGGAGATTAGAGGATGTTAGCAGCACGGCTGTGGAAATAGTCTCTCTTTCAATCTCTAAAAACACACACACACACACACACACACACACACACACACACACACACACAGGCAAGACAAAGTGGCTGCTTGCAATGTTGGTGTGTTTGTTTATGTCAAGCAAGTGATAACACCCTGCAATATACCTTGACTAATATGATTTTTATAAATACTAGACCAAGGATTAAATAATGAGCCATATGGTCGTTAGTGTTGATGACATTATTAGTGATCTTTATTGTGGGGGTGTTTTCATTGTACTTGTGTCTGTGTGCATTGTATAACTCCTTTTAATAGATCACACAGAGAAGATGTACAGATAAAACGCCGAAAATCTTTCACTTATTATGACTAGCTTATATAAAATGGTCCAGGTGGGTTTTAAGTTTTGAGTTAGTATGGAGACATTTCCACTGAAGCCAAGCACACATTCTTGCTCATCCACTTTTAGCCAAATCAGCAGTATTAAAATTGGTATGTCTCTATCACTGGATTCTACCATTCTGTGTTGAAGCTCAATAACTCTGAAAGTAAACTCAGGCTCCTTCTGTCATGGCTCAGTTTACACAGGTGTTGTAATGTTGTGTCCGACTGGCTGGATTTGGACACTCATGTGTGTGTGTGTGTGTGTGTGTGTGTGTGTGTGTGTGTGTGTGTGTGTGTGTGTGTGTGTGTGTGTGTGTGTGTGTGGCACAAATTTGCTCTTGTACAGCGATGAAAAGCACACTCAGACACAGGGGCTGGTGTGACACTGTAACATTATAGATGGAGCATTGGAAGGTGGATCAAAGCCCAATTAACTTCAGGTCTTCTGCCTTATCCTGTCTTTACTGGCTGGCTTAGAGCTTCAAGTCTGTCATTAGAGCCAAGTAAATGAGCCTCGCTTAAGATCCTGTCTCACCGCCTGATAGATAGACCCAATGCTGGCGTGGGATGAAGACAGTTTAATGACCACGAGATAATCTGGAGAAATTAGATCTATATGAAGCTCCTTGCGACATTTTAATCCACTATAGTATTCTCTGTACTGCACAGCATGGCTGTCATCCCCTAACTTGTCATGATGATATAGTGCTTCTCCCATGACTGTGCAAAATGCAGTCTAGTTTCAAGTAACGATACCTTTGAGCTTTAATTATCAGCTCAACCTGTCAACTTGACAGAGTTTCCCTGTTAAAAGTTGTTTGACCCAGTGGCAGCTGCCTGCAGAGGAGACCAGCAGACGGTTTATTTCATCATAATGATAGAACAGCAGCAGCAACAACATTAATGTAATATCCAACCTTTAGAGTCACTGGAAAACTATAATCAGTGTTATCTATTAGACTGTGATGGAGTCAGCCATAACAAGCACCATTCATGATCGTAAATACCCTGTTTATTTGACTTAATATTGGTACATTATTCTTCAAAGAATCAGGCCACATGTTTGACATATTGTCCTTGTTTCCCCAGTAATACACAGAACTACATGCATAAATTGAATATTAAGATGCTTTAGATCCTGTCTACAGGCAGTTTCTAACTCTACAAAATTTACTTAAAACCCTTTTTATATTTACGTTGACCTTACATTATTAAAATATGGTTCAGGATCCCCAATTTGCTTGTGGTTCCTGGCATGAGCAGTAAATGACCATATAAGTGCAGCCTAGGACCTGAGAAAGAAGCTTAATATCTTATTATTGTCCTGCTCATAAAGCAAACCCTGAAGGGCTTCTATCACTTAAGCCTTAAAGCAGCCAACTAATTCTTATTCTCTTCCCTTGTTTATGTACCTTTAGGTTGTGCGCGGCCACCTGGCGTGCAGCACGGAGACCTGCTGAACCAGACCGAAGCCAACCGGGGTTCTTTTCCCCCGGGTACCCTGCTGACTTATGGCTGTGAGCCTGGCTACACTGCAGATGGACCCACCAGCATCATTTGTACCAGCTCCGGAGCGTGGTCCCATCAACCTCCACACTGCATCAGAAGCATCGGTGAGCCAGACTCAGAAATACATACAGTATCTCACACAAGTGAGTACACTCCTCACATTTTTGTAAATATTTGATTATCTTTTCATGTGACAGCACTGAAATTTACACTGTATTTTGTACAATGTAAATTTGTTACAGCAGGGAACACTGGGAAAGTTCACCCAAAAATATGAGCATTTAAACCACAGTAATCAAACCTGACCACAGGTGGAAATAATGGCAAACACATTTTCGGTACATAACAACAGCCACAGCTCTTAAAATCTCTATTGTCTCTTCCTCTTCCCAGTGTGTTCACCCCCCACTGAACCAGAGAACGGGGGCTACCGCTGTCACCCGTCTCCCTGCCACAGCCTCACCCAGAAGACTGTTATCGAGTACTTCTGTGACGAGGGCTACGCTCTTAAGGGCGACTACAAGTTCCTCACCTGCCAGAACGGCGAGTGGGATGGTCCCATGCAGATCAGCTGCCGACTCACACAGGGTCTGTCGCCTCAGCTAACTTTAATCTTTATTAGATCTTTCTGAGGACAAAGCACAACCTTACGCAGGAAATGTAAATCAAAATCTGTGAACCACATTTTCACTTTCTCTCTGTCTTCTCGTTTCCCTCAGACAAGGAGCCGAGCTCTCCACTGGGTATACCAGCTCTGTCTATTGTGGCGTCCACAGCTAGTTCCGTGGCTCTCATCCTGCTTTTAGTGGTGCTGTTTGTTCTCGTACAGCCCAAACTCAAGTCCTTCCATCACAGCAGGTAAGATACACACGCACACACCCACACAGTCAAAGTCAATTCAATAAAATATCATCATCATCATCATCATTCTTTGAGACCACATTTCCCCTTACTTTTTCTCGTTAAGAGAATGTTTATGCTTCAATGTTGCTCTGTGTGCATTTTGTTTTCTTCTTCACTTTACTGAACAATGTGAACATGTGGAAACATTTTTCAATCAACCTTTTGCTTATTTAAAAACCTATTGTTGCCAGAAACTCTTGAAGTTATAGTTCTGCTTGCTCTGGAAGAACACTGCCCTTTTGTATGCGGTAGTGTAAAACCACCTCCCAGTATGTCACAAAGTAACGCAGCAGATACAGCTATTAATCCCTTCCTTGTGTCGACACACCTATTATTCAGACGTTTTGATAGAAACTGGTTTTATAAACTAGTTGTCTATGTAAGATGCGCAAGACCTGCCAGCTAGTTTTACAAGTTGGCATATCTTAAATATTTGAGAAATGAAAGTAAGAGTAAAACATAGGAGTTTATCCCATCATAGTCACAAATCACCTCTGTGGCTCTGTGATAAAAAGGCCAGAATGATTTGATCTAATGCTCATTGGCACTCTTGTTGATTGTGAAGTGGGCCAGAGGGCTTAGTGCAGCCTGCAATAAAGGGACTGTCAACGCTAATCACCTCCTCTCAGAGGTTGTGCTTCAGCATGCAACACACATGACTGCATCATGCTTATCAAGCTGAGCCTGGTGTCGTGATCCACCTTGACTTCACTTGTCTTTCTGTCCGTCTCACTTTCTCTTTGTCTCTGTCCATCAGGAGGGAGCAGGGAATCTCAGGCCAGCCCAGCTCCGTCATGGTGGAGGGCGTCCAGGTGGCACTGCCCTCATATGAAGAGGCTGTATACGGAAGCAGTGGACCCTGTGGTGCGTCTGGTCCTCCTCCTTCTCCCCCACCTCCTCCGGGTCCCCCAGAGTCTCGAGTCCCGATCGTGCTCTCTGAGGGGCTTCCTCAGGGAGCCACGGGAGGCCAAGGCCCCAGCAGAACCCGCCACCACAGAGACTTAGACTTCTGTCTCCCATCCACATCCTCCTCATCATCCTTCTCCTCCCGCCGTTTAGCAGAGACGGTTCTGGTTCATCAGGCCCCGTCTTCCTCCTCCTCTTCGTCATCATCATGGGCTAGAGAGCACCCTGGGGGTGCATGCGCAGGCCCCCTACCGCTCCGTAGAGACTCTGAGAGTAGCGACCAGCACAGTCTGCTTTCTGTCACTTCTACAGATGAGTTTTCTGATGGTAAGAGGAAACGGTCTGTGTTATTCCACATATTTGCTTCATAACAAGGAGAGCCTGACGGGTACCAATATGTCAGGTTGATTTACTTATTTTAACATAACATACATTTTTGGTAGGAATTTCTAAATAATTAAACCAAGGTATAATACAACTCAGAACAGTAAACAGTTTTTCAAGGTTTTCCAAACACATCTTTTCATACATATCAACACTTGTTATTTCTTAGCTTGCAGACATTTACAGTAGTAGGTGAGCAAATATCTGCAGATCCGTCTAGCTCTAATAACAACAAACAAAGTCGCGTATACGCAACTTTTTACTCTTTTTCAAGGGCTGGTGAAGGAAAAAAAACACCTGTCAAAAGTAATTTCATTGATCTCATAATCAATACTTTTTAATAAATATGTCAACCCATTTATTTTGTTATTTATTGTATAGATTTGGGTACTGCTCAAAATATTCAATAAAGCAGGTTTAATTAAAAGCTTGCACTCTCTTCACCTAAACATTTCAACTTACCCTGCATGAAGTCGTAAAACGGTGGGGAATGTTTAGACTCTACTGGTTTTTGTGGAGAATTGTGTTACAAATAGTCACTCAGGAGCCTGTGAATACAACCTGTTTGTTAAGATCTCAACCAGACAATGTGTTCAGTAGACAACAGGGACAAAATTGAGAAAAGGCCAAGGCAATAACTTTTCATGATTTAAACACACTTGAAATCCCAGTTACAGGTAAATGTTTTTGATGATGTAGTGGATTGCATGACTGTGTGGTGGCAAGACAGCTGACTCTAGCGCTGCTTCTCTTTTCTAATGTGTCTGTTCTGTTCCACCTGCAGATATTCCCCTGTTGAAGGAAGCATGAAGCCTGCCAGCCTGCCATCAGCAGCAGACCCCCTATTTCCCTATCTCTCACTGCTGACCAGGACTGACTGTGGCTGTCAACCTTCTTCTCCCCGGACTCCCCTCAGCAGCCAGCAGAGAAAAGACTAGAACTATTCCCATTCCCCGATGCAACCTTTTCTGCCATTACTACCCATGCAGAGCAAAGCCAACAGCCAATACTCACTACATCACAAGCAATGATGAAGCACCACTGGATCTAGCTACTGGATCAAACTAAAGACAAGCCAGACAAACAAAGTGGTGCCAGCTCAACATAAATCATGTAGATTCTCTGTACATGAGTAAAACATACATACTGAGTCAAGGTTGTGTACTATAGGCTATGTATTACCTTACACTTGCCTCCTCCCAGGTGTAGTTCTCTATATTAACATTGCTCACAGAGGCTTCATTGGAAAAGGCTATAGCAATCAAGACACGTCGACTCTGTCTGGGATTACTGCGGATAAAAAAATAAAATAACTTGTGATGTTTGCTCCTGACGCTGTGGCGCTAAGAATCAGAATTGTCTTCCCGCTGTACTTGAAAAGTTGTGAGTGACGACTGGGTTTCTGCAACCCGCTTTGTGAATGCTGCATGTTGTTTTTAGTTATTGCTGTCACAGCACGGTGGCCCACTCTGAATGAAGCATGAAGCCCGCTCTCTCTCTCTCTCTCACTCTCTGTCGCTCTCGCTCTCTCTCTTGCTGTCTGTGTCCTGGTGGCGTCTAGCATATGGATTAGTGGGATTGAGAACCACTTCACATGAGCTAAAAGCAGGGTGCGGCTTTCACATATATAAAAATCACATATATTAAAAAAAACCCTGCTCCTTTCCTTTCTGTTGCCAGCTGCACCCATTATCTTGAAGGTGCTTCTTCTGTCGCATGAGTGGGATTGAATGGTGCTTTGGTTCCAGGACTCTGTTATACATCTTTCCTTGTATAAATGGAAGGAGACTTAATGTCACATTTTGTCTAAAAGCTAAGGAGAGCATTTTCTTTAAACACAGTGATTGGGCACATGACTGAATTTCAGGGTTCAATTTTCTTCCCACTCTATTTATTGTTTGGTGTGTGGCTCGGTTTGCTTTTAGTTGCTGAATCTGAGTGTGTGTGTGTGTGTGTGTGTGTGTTTGAGCATCTTTGTGTGTCAGTTAGGCAGAAGAGGACATGTCCTCATAAGGCAGGCCTCGATGCAGCCATTTTCTGATTTGCCTCTCTTAAGATCAGAGACTGGCTTTACAATGTCCCTGTCTTTCACCACAGGAAAGTATCCCTCCCTCTGAACAAGTCACATGAACAAACTAGAGTCACATCAGGCAACGGGTCCACTACACAATGTGTGTATTATTCATCTGCTCTCAAGCTAGAATATTTATCCTTTTCTGCTGAATGGCTCCTTAGAGGAAATGGCTCTCACCCACTTTCACACTGTACCGAAGACTCTCCACTCTTGTGCATTACTGACACAACTGCAACTGGTTGCAGTGAAATTATAAAGTTTTGTTATATAGCACCCCACCCCCACCACGTACACTCATTCACCCTTCTTATACCAAGTGCAAATTTAAGAGAGAAGCGTGTTATTTTGTGAGAAATCATCCTCTGTTTTCATTGCCACTTGAAAGGCCTTGGTGGTTGAGCTGGTCACCCTGGAAACAGCATGACTCCGAAGGATCCTAAGAATTACTTTTCAAGCTTAACTGCTGGGGTAAAAAAAAACCTTCTGCAGTTCTGTTCTCCGCTTTATTTGGCATTTGTGGCTGTCTGTCATTGTCAACGGCTACTTTATTAATGCAAACAGAATGTTGCCTTAGACTTGTACATTTTCTTTTTTTGTTTTTGGGATGTATAATCTTAAGCCTCCGCATTGGTTGCTTTACAGTATTGCAACGTGTTCTGTTTTCCCAATGGCCTTACTCTGTTCTTTTCTATTCTATGCATACAACTGTCTTTGTGTATTTATCAGAGTTTACTTTTGTTGTGGACACAACTCAACGGATGTCCATCTTTCTCTGTCCTTCCCTTAGCTTTTCCAGCTACTGTGGTGATGATGATGATGATGATGATGAAGAACCTATAAGCACCTATATTTCACTATCCCTTTGCTTGTCTTTTGCTACAAGGCATTAAAATATTATTGGATTGAAAAGAAAAAAAATGAAATTAACTGCGTTCAGAAGCACTGTTGTACGGTGTTGCTTCCCTGACAATAACAGGTTTCAAAAAGTACACATCTTGATTCTTAGTTTCAATGCTTTCAGCTTTGGTTTTTCCTCTGTACATGGCAGTGGGTGTGAAGATAGTAATTTAATATTTGTATAAAGTTTAATTTAATTTTACAGTGTGTATATAACTTTCTAATTAAAGCTTTCTTTTGAATGTGGACGACTATGGGTCATTATTTAAGCCAATGTCAGACTGTTCCTTCTCTGTGTTACTGTGTGATTTTTGGAATATGTTGATCTAACTGTCACAAAATATACATTTTCAGACTCAGAGTTAGTTCTATATTATATGTCAAGACATTTCCAGTACTTGTAAACCAAGCAACATGCATCTGCTTGTATCAGTGAAGATTAATTCCATTTTCCAGTTTAGCTTAGCTGTAGTATCTTTTAAACTTCTTCTCAAAGCCAATTTAGTATGCTTGCAGTGGATCTTTCTGGCTCATTTATTGTGTCCTTTGTCCTGCTGTTATACTGTTTTTGGCTCATAGTCCGATAAAGCGATATCTACTGTACAGAATGTGATTTAATTCTTCCTCCCTGTAGAGTATTATAGTGTCTGAGCGACACTTTGTGGTAACAATTAGAAACTGCACTAATAGAAACTCGTAATATTCGGCCAGACATACAAGACATTTTGATTCGGCGGATGAGTGACGTCATTTTCGGGAAACCTACACACCGCACTTCCGCTTTTTTCGTATTCTGCAGGTCTTTGTGAACATTGTCAGTACCAGATATTGTTGAAAGTGTGCTTGCTTGTTAGTTGCGGGAAATAGATATTAGAGACAAAAGACATGATGTAAAGAATTAAAACATAAGGGCCATCGGGAGCAGGATTAAAGAGCACACTGGAATAACGTTATGGTGGAAGTGGACAAGGCAGATGATGTTTGGTCAGTTTCATAAGGTCGTGACTGATGGGAAAATGGAACATCTGACAAACTTTACTACTACTTTGTGTACAAAAGATAAGGCAAAAATGTCTTGAAATCGTGGCTTGAAATACTGAGCACACAATAGACAAAAATTAACGCTTTCATGCATGACGTCCACTACAATGGACTGATATTTGGAAGCCATTTTGAGCCATTTTATAGTACCATGTCCTACCTACTACCTATGCAACCACCAAGTGGCAGAACCCCAAAGCGTTTGGTTGTACCATTTGATTTTTATGTTTTACATCTCTGTTATTTTGATATAGTGCATCATAAGGAGGGAAGTAGAGATGCACCAAGCTCAGCAATAACTCTAAATCCTTTTATCCTCAGGAAATAAGACTAGTAAAAAAAAATATTTTTTAATTACAGATTTTAATTATATATTTCTTGTACATTTTATTCTGGGACTGAAAATACATCTGTCTACTCCAGTGGACGGTTTGGCCAAATTCTGCCAATGTATATTATGCAATATTTTGTATGTTTTATTTAAAATGATGATATCATTTGCACGTGAATAACGTTATGAGTATTTATACCACTTGCTCTTTGTAAATGTTTTATAAACATATCGTTTTTGGACCACTTTTTTTGAGGTGGACACATTTCAAAATGAAATATAGTGTGTGTGTGTACACACACACTATATTTACACAACTACACTATATAGTATAGTGTGGGGGGGGGTTAATAGGCATATTCTTTCAGTTGTTTAACAGTAAAAACAAACAATATTACTTATTAATTTAATAAGTCATGCATGAAAGGGTTTAATTAAAATACATAAAAAACAAGAATAAACAAACGAGTAATTTGAGTGTGCAACTTTGAGGTGCAGTTGCAGTTAGCTAGCACCTGAAGTTGGCCGCTAGGGAGGCCAGTTGCCGATAAACCTCAAAGAGGAAGAAGAAAAAGAAGAAAAAGAAGAAGAGTCCGCCGTTATACGCGTCACGTGGGTCGTTTGGTTCCCTCTCACTTAACAGCAGAGGCTCCATTTTGTGTTTGCGCTCTCAGTCGACAGTCAGCAAGGAAATACTGCTAGGACCACCTAAGGGTATGTGTTGAACGATTAAAACTCACCGTGCATGTACTGTTGTGTTAAAAGAAAAGTTAACGTTATCTGTCGTGTATAGGAGTCGTTATCTTAAATTTGCTCGCTACGTGGCCTGGTAAAAATCTGGTAGCTAGGCCCCACAGTTGACCGGCTAACGTTAGCTTGCTACAAAAATAGGGCGTTTATAATTCGACGTTGTTGGGGCCGCTAAATATAATTATTTATATACACTAATAACGTTATTGTTCTTACGCTTGCAGAAAACTTTACCAACAACACCAACATGAGTGGATGTCGTATTTTCATCGGCCGTCTGAGCCCGTCTGCCAGAGAGAAGGATGTGGAGAGGTTCTTCAAAGGATACGGCCGCATCCGAGATATTGACCTCAAGCGAGGCTTTGGGTTTGTGGTGAGTCACACACAATGGGAATGGATCAGGGCAGTTTTCTTAAATATTGATAGAATTTGAATAAAGGCCACTTTATACTTCGCTGTACAGTAATGTAATGTTTCATTCAGCGCAGTCGGGTTCTTCTCCGCCTCAGCGTACATGCAGAGTAGATACCAAGTTCTTTAAATTTACGGCCTTCATTTTGTTCCGTATCCAGTGTTGTGTCCTTGCAGTGTCAACCATTTCGAAATCTAGAAGTGTTTAAATGAAGTGCTGATTTTAGGGTTTTCTGCCCAATGCACCCCTACATTAAATAAGTTACTGCCAAAGGGTTTTTCACAGTATTCACACCTTTTTCCTTTTCTCACACTAGATTGGAGGGCTGGGCAGTGAAACAATGATAATTATCGCTATGTATTTTTCCTCTATAACAATACAACACATTTTTATTAAATGTTTTATTTAATTTATTAGAATCAAGAATGAATTACCACTGGTGCTGGGTGATGTGGCCAAAAATGTTAGTAATTTATTTTATTTTTTTTAAATTGTGAAAACATTTTTGGCCATGCCACCCAGCCCTACTCCATTGTACAATAGATTAAATTAACTTCGGGCTTTCAATATCTTAATATCCCCTAACCCATGATGACAAAGGATTTTAACACATTTGATTAAAATCAACAAATGAAATCCATTAATATTAACATGCATGGTTGGTGGGTAAACGAGTCCAGGATCGGTATGAAACTGGGTCACAGCAATTATCTGCTTGGTATATGCTGGTATTTTTAAGGGAAAGGAAGAAAGGCAGTACTGCCATATTTAAAATAGTCTAATGCTGTACCTCACACATTTAAGAATGACACAGAAAAGGGGATAAAGAGACACAAACTTTTAAGTGTTATTAATGTGCGTTCTGTTTGTTGTAGGAGTTTGATGACCCCAGGGATGCTGAAGATGCTGTTTATGAGCTTGATGGCAAAGAGTTGTGCAATGAAAGGTAGGAATTTCTCTTGTGGTAAATGTTTGTACGAGTTTTCCTTCACCGTTTGCTCCATCGGTTTCCATGGTAATACAGAAGCTTTTCTGTAATTTCAGGGTAACCATCGAGCACGCCCGTGTACGTCTGCGAGGTGGCCGTGGCAGAGGAGGCAGCACTGGAGGAGGAGGAGGAGGACGTTTCTCTGATCGCTATGGCAGAGGATCCCAGAACAGTCGGAGGTAAGGTTTTCACACCTCAACCAGTTTTGGTAACATCAACTGCTTTGATACGTAAATATGTATTTGCCGTTTAATATGTAAGGAACACGTAAATGAACGGTTCTGTAAGTATGTTGTTTAAACAATTATTTGGTAAAAGGTCAATTATCAGAGTCCATGTTTTGAAATGGCTACTGTGGGTGTTCAAGTTACTTGTATATTTTGCGGTGATCCAGTTTAATTACAGACTTGGAATTTTAAATGCATGCAACACCTGGCCTGTGCTCACTGAATTTTAAATACCCTTGAGAGCTCTTAATGGCCAGGCCACACTGCTTATGTGATAAGCGCATGTGCATCGTGGAACCTCTTACTTTTTATTTTGGCGGCCATGTCAGTAGGTTAGAGCTGCCACACAGTCTGTGCGAGCTACATGCAGCAGCAATGCTTCACTTACAAAAAAAAGAAAAAAAAAAGTCAGTCTTCACTAGTTTTTGACAGTGACAAATGTCTATCTGTAGAATATGTCACAAGACATGAAGAAAAAAATAAAACCATTTTAACCCAACACCTTCTGGATACTTTTCAGATTAATAGCCCTCTAGTGTTTCTCTGAACATAATCCCTTCATTTGTTTACTAGGCTTTTATTTTAGAGGATTTATTAAAAGCAAACATGATGTAGAAAGATAGTAGTTAAGCAAGGTAGCCGTCACACACAGGTTAGAGGTAGGCAGTAGGGATGAAACAATTACCGGTTTAACAGTAAACCATGGTAAAATTCCCGGTTATTACCTTTACACATTTTAATTACCATGATAACCGGGTACGGTTAACCGCGCTATTATAATCTCAAGGCACTTTTTCAGTCACTCTGAAGTCCGGTCGCGCTGAGGGGAAACCTTGATTGAAGAAAATAACTTTATAGTGAACGCAGGGTGTTAATTTCTAGCTTTGGTTTGTCTGTCTGACTTGCTAACAGCGTATAAACTGAAGCTCTCTGCGTTAGCTGCTCTTGTAAAAACGCTACACGTTGTTCTGTTGCTGTGTGTGTCGTGACGGCAGAGTTTATTCGTCCACTGCACATGATAACACGTTATGCAGTTTAGTCAACCAAGCAGCATACCTAGAAACACTACATACTGTATTTATGTCAGTTTTTGGGCTCATTGCAGTTACTTTCACTGTCTTCTAAAGACTTTGTTTTCATGTAATTGTCCACGGGATCATTGTATTACCTATAGGCCTATAATATAAAATCTTGATAATGCACACCTAGATGATTTTAATGTTTACAAAAGGTATCTGCGGTTTTATTTTTTATGGAAACAAAATGGAAATTTGTAGTTTTCAATATAAAACTTGTTGAAATGGTTTGTGTATCAGTACATTTTAATATTTTTTTGGCACATTTTTACAATACCGTGATAATACCATGATAATTTTGGTCACTATAATCGTGATATGAAATTTTCATACCGTTTCATCCCTAGTAGGCAGTATGGCCTCAAGCTTTAGTCTGTGTGCTAAAGTCTGTATCTCAGCCTCACAATGTCGTTCAGTTGAATGAGTCTTTTTACATTCTTTTGTTCCAGTCGAAATCCTCCTCCGATGCGCACTGAGAACCGCCTGATTGTGGAAAACTTGTCATCTCGTGTCAGCTGGCAGGTTAGTATTGCCACATGTTTTTCATACACAGCAAGCCTCTAAACGCTGCAACACCACAGATGTTATCACCTCAAACAGTCTGCCTCCAACAATATACACATACAAATGTAGAATATCCATACTGCTAAAAACATAGAAACAATCAGATCAATTGCTAATGTGTATAAACAAACTTTTATTGTGATAAGGCCCAGATTGTTATTTTAAAAAACACTGCTCATATGAATCTGCATCTGATGCAGTTAAGTAATCAGTCAAAGAGCAGCAACTACAACAAAACAGTTAATTTGTTCCTTTTTTCAAATTTTAACCAATTCTTCACCCCTTTATTTGCCAGCCTGACTGTTGTGTCATATGGAAGAGCTCGCTTATGGTGGAGTTAACCCCTTCTGGGTCCTTCTGTCTGGGTTGAGCCTGTGGTGTCAGCCAGTCTGTCCTACTCCTAGTTGACGCCTGCTGGTCTTGTGAGCGCTCGCTCCACACTAGAGGCGCTGGCGGCCCCTACGCTCGCTCGCAACGCCCCCTGTCGAAGGCAGGGGGGTGCCTGGTGTGTGACTGAGAGCGAGAGAGAGGAAACAGAGAGTTGGCAGAGAGAAAGGAGAGGAAAGAGCGAGAGTCGATGGTGATGGTGGTGGCGTATTGATCGATGGTTCGTTAATTTGAGGGGCTTCGATCGATCGATATCCCCCTTCCCTCCCCCCCTCTGGTGTTCCCGCACATCGCGAGAGAGTGTGAGTTCCTTCCAGGTGCCCATGGATATAATCTGCTGTTATGGTGGGCTCGGAGAGCCTGCGGCCCACCCCAAAGGGTTTCGCTCTCAGGTAGTAGTTTCCTCTCTTCCACCCTGTTCACTCTCTTTACTGAGGCGGGGTGCCGAGACGGGCGGTCCCGGCGAGGAGCCCTGTGCCCTCTTTGCCAGGGAAAATGGGGCTCTTAGTGCCAAACGCTGCCCAGTGGCGCCACTGCAGTTCAGTTCATGCAGATGGTGTTCATGTCTCTGTAGTTATAATGAGCAGTGGGTCCAAGAATCTCAAAACTGTTGTTAATACTCACTGTGTCCAGTAAAAGTACTTGTAAAAATATGTTCTATACATTGGCGTACACTACATTTTTCTAGTTTTGTGGGGATTTAAAATTTTTTTTAAATGTTTTAAAAACACACTTTTTTGAAGGACAGGCTTGATTAAACGGTCTCTGAGGTTCTTGGACTCATCCTTATCTGCTGTAGCCTGTGTAGTCCTCTCAGAGAATCTAACCATCTCTCTTTTTGGGTAAATCAGTCCTGTTTTATGTCTCAGGCTGTACTTGTGTCCTGAGTCTCTCCGTAAGTTGACTGATGTTTACATGTGTAGGACCTGAAAGATTTCATGAGACAAGCTGGAGAGGTGACATTTGCAGATGCACATCGCCCCAAGCTCAACGAAGGGTAAGACCATTAACTCAATTATGAACATCACCATGTGAGTCATATGTTTACCATATCAAAATTACATTTGAAATTTGAGGAAAATTACAATCCAATTTATGACAAAAAGCATATCTAAGATTGTTAATAAAATAGTTTCATGCTGTTTTTACAGAGTGGTTGAGTTTGCCTCATACAGCGATCTGAAAAACGCCCTTGAAAAACTGTCTGGAAAAGAAATCAATGGCAGGAAAATCAAGCTCATTGAGGCAGCCAAGAAGAGGTGAGTTGTCTGCCCGAACCTCCAAACACACAAAAAGCGATCAATACATATTAGAGAAGTCATTTGATTGTGGCTGATGCGCTCCTATTCACCCATGATTGGCGGCACGCAGATGGCGGCTTCCGCTTTCCCCTCATGTTTCATTTATTATCACAATAAGAGCATGCTATTATCTGAGATAACTTCATTGAATGCTGAGAGATCAGTGCTCCACCTGCATTCAAAGAACAGAGTCATGCTTATTTTAGAGCCTATAGTAAAGGTGGATAAAGAAATGGTTCCAGGCAAAAGTATAACTTGGTTTATCACTATATATGGATTTAGTAGAAGATGGGCTGAACTGTTGCTGAGGTTGCGCATTAGTCACACTGCTGTTGGGAAGCATAGTGTGTGTAAATGTATAAATCTGTATTGATTACTGTGCCACTAACACACTTTTCAGAAGAGCACTTATCTTTTAATCACCTTTTTAAAAGGGGAAAGTCGGCACAGACACAAGAAGCCCTCATCTTATTGTTGCGATCAGATCTTTAGAGTCTGTCAGGATTGACAGTGATTATTCAATTTATTTAGCTTTTATTCATACATGGTGGTAAGTTGACTGCACATACATGCTCTTTAACTGGAAAACCTTGTCAATGGTTAAATTAATTTAAAGAAAGTAATAAGGAATAACTTGTTCATAAGCCAGACAGTATATAATGTGCAGGCTCAGTGAAAGCAGTCTTCACACTGCCTGGCTTGCTTGCTTATTCATTTATGAATGTGTTTACTTAATACTTGTGTGAAAGAAACCCAGTAGTGTATTTCTGAGAGCCTGAATGTGTATACTATGTATTTTGGCAATATCCTAATGATCTTTCTTTACTCTTCCTCTCACCCAGGTCGAGAAGTCGTTCCCGGTCAGAGAGCTCCTCCCGCTCACGGTCCCGTTCTCGTGGTCGCTCTCCATCTCGCTCACCTAGACGCTCTCGCAGCCCCGCCAAGGCCCACAACCGTTCCCGTTCCCCCAGTGGCTCACCCTCCGGCGGTGCCGCCTCCCCATCAGCGAAATCCAAGGATGCCACTAAACGTTCCTCAAAAACGAGCAAGTCTGCCAGCCCGCACTCCCCTCTGCCTGCCCAGAGGGCCTCCCGCTCTCGCTCCCGTTCCCGCTCCCGCTCTCGCTCCCGTTCCAGATCTCGCTCTCGTTCTCGCTCTACTGACAGCCAGCGCTAAAGGTTGTGTTTAAGTTTAACAGGAATCACCAGTTGGAACAACTTGTTTCAGCAGTATAATCAGCTTGGAGGTGTTTGCACACTGGAGCTCCCATGACCCCTTCTGAAAGCTGAGACAAGTGTTTCCCTCAAGTAAAGTTTTTTTTTTTGTTTTTCTTGTCTGGATTGTCATCCTCAACAGTCCTCAAGGTTTTCACATTTAAAACACATGTCGTACAGAAACAATGATATTAAGTCAGATATTTTATTGTCATTTTAAAGTTAAATAATTGTACCGTTGAGTGACTCCTCACCTCCAAATTTACTCATCTAGCTTAGCTGCAGGTCCAGTTCTGATCCAGCACCATTATTTCTTGTCACAGAAACACCAAATCGAACCAGCACTGCCATTATTGGGCCTCTAACGTTGGTCATCTTTACACTTTGAAAAACTTTGAAGAGGGAACCTGTGTTTTTCAGCAGTAATAGAATACTTTTGATAAGTCATGTGACCACTTTCTTTACTGTTTTGCGATACTTTTGTTGTTGCTTGTCAGTAGGAAGATTGATCCTTTTTGTTGTTTTTTTTTACATTTTTGTCCTTATCATTTGCGTTTTCCAAGTCCTTTCACCTCTTTCCCCATATTTTCTGACCTGCTGTATCTACCACAGATGGTGTATGCGATATCTATAACTTAAAATGCTTGCATGTGCTTTTGTTTGATCGAAATTTAGACTTATTAGTATTGAAAATATTTTATTTGTACTTAAAGCTCAAAAACAAACCATTGCAACTGGCATTGGCAGCTTCAGTACCAAGAGCACTGTACAATGACATTGTTCCAGCAGTTGAACAGCTGCACAGTAAAATAACGGTTGATTTCATGGATCGTGCAGTTGACTGTTGAACTGTCTTGTTGGGAGATGTAATACTCTTGAGGATAAGGTCAACACTTTAATTTCAACACTTTAAAATGGTGTTGCATACAGAATGTTTATTCTAGCGTTGTAATTTACTTGTTTTTGTTTTGATATAGGGGTTTTGTGTACAGCATTGCAGACTTTGATTTTACATACGTGTGTATTATACTTGTTGGTACTGTGACTGATGTTACTGTGGTGACTGAACGTGTAGACAAGAGTTTGGAAAATGCAACATTTTTGTAAATAAGGATTTTATTTTCAGTGGGGGGAAAAAAAATATGATGGGCGTTTGTATGGTTTAGGAAGACAATTGACTAAAACAATAAAACCGTTTTAATTAAATCATGAGTTTTGTGTTTGTCAATTACAAGTTGTCAACTGACAATTCAGAAGTAAATACTCTGAATTCTCCCAGTCTCAAATCACTTTGCTTTCTGACAGTTATACATCTTATTTGTTTCAAGTAGTGCAGGAGCCCTTTCAGCGAGCTGCAGGGCGTTGTCTAGTCCCCATCAGGCTGGAGAGTCTTTGGTCCTCCATCATACAGTCCCCTCAGAGGACACTTTCAACTTGTCTTCAGCGTTAGCTGGCTGGTACGTCTCTGTAGATCAGGCAGACAAAGTGGTTTGGCAGAGCAAGCGCATGCAAGTAGTTTTATAAAATGAAATTTTAAGTTAATCGAACAGTCAGGCTCATTAAATTTCACATTTAAAATGAAAACACACATTTGAGAAACTGGTAAGATTATTATTATTTTTTTTAGTTGACAGTGTAGAAACGGACAGAGGACTATGAGGTGCAACCGAGGTCACAAGCCAAAATCCAGCAGAGCTTACACAGTATACAATTTTAATCACAAGGCAACCAGGATGCCCCTGTGATCTTTCAGGTTTGGACCATCATTTCTGACGGGTGCTTTTAGATGGTGGTGGTGATGCAGTGGATAAGAAGCATGCTGTTGGTGTGAGAGACCTGGGTTCAATTCCCCACTGTGATACATCCACAAATGTGTCCATGAGCAAGACTTAACCCCTAGTTGCTCCAGAGGCATGCAACCTCTGACATGAATAGCAATTGTAATTGCTATTGTAATGTCAGAGGAGGAATCCTAATGACGACGTTGGTTCCCTCCCTCACTTCCTCTAGCAACATTTGGTAAAAATGTTCATTTACTGTGTCTAAGTATCCACTTGATGGATTGGCACCACATTTTGGACGGGTGACTTTTCCTCTAGTGCCACTTATATTTTAGTTTATTATTGAAATATCTCAAAGATGAATTGTAAAAAACTTTCATCTGAACACCATCGACAGGTCAAAATGTCTGTTTATGACAAAATACCATCAAAACTAATGAGATTCCAGTCAGCCTCCTGTATTTTCTGGTTAGTACTAATTCAGCATGGCTGTAGACTCCTTTTCCTGTTAGATGAGAATTGTTTTCCCCTGTATTGCTTTGGAAATTGCTTGTTAGCTAATATATTGCTAACACGACATTTTTTTCTGTTGTGTTTTTTCAGTCCAGTACAGTACACCCCTTTATAATTTCATGTTAGCTTTTATCCTCTGGCTTAAGAATGAACATATTAACCCTTTAAAAGCCTGTTTACCTTTCTCTGTGAATGTGAACCTTTGGTAACACCAGAACAGCACGATGAGCACACCTGCCTCCATCATCTGGAAGGACACGTAGACCAAGGGGAACAGAAACAGAGGGCCGATCATTTCCGGGGGAAAGGCCATCTTCAGAATAGTGCTGCAGAGCTGGATGTTCTGACAGCCTGTTTCCATAGCGACCGTCCTCCGTTCCCTGAGGGCAGACCGATTCATTCATAAGTCACGGGTACATAAAGGCAGGCTCGTGGCTCTGACATGACTAACATAAGCGCTTGAATTTAAGCAGATAACGCTCCGCCTGACTTACGCTTGGTTGAGCTTAAACAGCGAGGAGATGATGTATCCGAAGGAGTAGCCTATAAAAGGCATGAGAGAGCCGATGGCCATGAGTGGAGGAGACAGCACTGTCAGGATGGAGCCTCTGATGGCAATGCTGGAAATGATGCCAATCCCAACTACAGAAATCATCATGATAGTGAGGCCTACCTGGGAACAGCAAGACAGGAAACTCATTAAACTGTAGATTCCTTTGGTTTCTTAATTATTATTAAAGAATAAGTCTAGTGGTCTATGTTTTCTTTAAAGTATTGTCTGTGTAGACACAGCCTCGCCTTATTCATCTGTGACAAGAGCATCAAATGTGAATTAATGTGCCAAACAAAATAACCCAAGAATGCACCAGGAAATGATCATCATTTGTGACCTGTTTTTTAAAAACATTTATGTCTCCAGTGGGAGCCAATGGGAGCCAATATTTGATTACTAGTTTGCCCCATATAATGTCAAAACAATGCCCGTTAATATTACACGTCCAAGTCAGTGTCTTGAAATTGCTTGTTTTGGCTGACCAACTACCCAGAACCCAAATATATTCAATTTACAGTGATGTATTACCACACGTTTTTGCCATTATTGCTTGATAAATGACAGAATGACCACATTAGGCACCCTGTGAAATTTAACGTAGGAAAAGTCATGTTAAAATCGCAGGTGAAATATGTTAAACATGTATTTTACACATGGGAAATGTGGTTTTGGAACATTTTCATGGTGTAAAGTGTAAAACCTATGTGAAACCTATGGGATTACAGGTATTTCCATGTTTCCTACATATCATCACATGTGGAAAACATGGGATATTCATTTGGTTTGTCTGTAAGGGATAAACAATAAATCAAGCCTGTTCATTTCTTTCACAAACCATTAATCAACATTGTTTCTGCCCTTTAACCTTCTGACCCTTGTGTGTGTGTGTGTGTGTGTGTGTGTGTGTGCGTGCAAACCTTTGTGATGAACTTTGCATACTGCGGCCTGTAATAATTAATGAGGATGCCGGCACTGCAGGGAATGAGAATCATGAACAGCGAAATAGTGATGTCGACGTAGGGCACGAAGTCCTGCAGGTTAGTGAAGCCCTGACAGTAGAGGTACAGCAGCAGAGGCATCATGCCCAGAGCCAGCAACGTGGAGCAGGAAGTCATCACAATGCTGAGGGGAAACACAGGGGTGATAATGTCTTAGTCCAGTCTTAAACTGAAACAACTGCTTCCTTATTATATTGGTGACACATGACCTTAAAGTTTAGGCCCACCATTGGGTCAACACTTGGTTGTAAATGAGGAATCTGGAAGAGTAGATTAGAAAACAACCCCTCCACAAGATCCATTTAGTAAAGAAAAACAGTCACTAAATGGTCAGATTTTTTTCTCAATAGCTATTTCAAAGGTCAAGAATTAACTTTGAACCTCAAATCTGAAGCCAATGTGGAGGAGAACTCCTTAAAGAGTTCAGCTTTTGGGAGTGCAGGTGGCTCAGTTGGTGGAGTGCTCTCCCCATGTGCAAAACTTCGTCCTTATAGCTGCGGCCTCAGTTTCAATTCCATCTGTGGGCCCTTTGCAGCATGTTTTTCCCTCAATTCCAACTTCTCTCTCTGTACTTACCAGAGAAAAGTGTTCAGATTTTAACATCTACAATTCCATACAAACTCAAGATCATGTGATATCAACCAAAACAGCTCTATAGAAATAGAAAAATTATATTCTCTACTGCTGTTCTAATGTCAAGAATGAAGTTTTAACTTGAACCACTGAACAGATTTGCCCATATGTTTCCTTGTTCACACTGAAATGTGAAAATCAGACAAGCATACATTTATTCAGCACATTTAAGAATCAGTGTCACTGTAAATGGTCCATACACATTTAGAGAATTTACTTTTTGTCATCATTTTGTAGCAAACTTGACAGCATTATGTTTAAAGTCTACAAAGTGTGAGGTGCAATGAACAGTGTAGCTTCCGGGGGCTGCTGGTGGGGCAGCAGACTTGTTAATTGCAGGTTGAACGTTTTCTGAGCTGAGTAAACTATCTGCCAGCCAATTGTTTCAAGATTTATTGCTCTCATATCACCCTTTTTATAACAGAGGCTGATTAACAATATGCTTGTGTCACCTTTACTCTCTAATAATGAGTAAAAAAGTGACAAGTCACTTTGAACTTGCCTGTAAATTTGCTGAGAAATACTGTGTAATAATATTTTTAAAAGGCCTCGTTTGCTGCCTGCATGAGATCCTTAATAATCCTTATTATTAGTTGTAAGCGGGGTCCGCGCCCCTTGCCCTGCGCAGGCCGCGCGAGTTAACCCGCGTTGAATAAATGAACAGAGTTTGAAATTAAAGGGACTTGCGGTTATGGGGATATAAAATTAATGTATGTCTAAGGGAGTGTCATTTGATATTCGATTAATAGTGCCACCTAGAGGCCGATTGACACCAAATTTCATACAGCCCCTTGGGAACGCCTAGTTATGAGGCAAAATGTCCCTTAGTTCAAAATCCCATTCAAATTAATAGGATTATCCCATGGTATTTCAGCTTCAATTATAGCGCCACCTTTAGGCCGAATTACACCAAACTTTTCGGGTGTCATCAGGGGCCTATGGGGAACAATTGTTCATAATTTCGTATCAATCGGACTTGTGGTTATGGAGATATAAATGCTTGTAAATCAATGAGATTTTTTAAATGTCTTTAATCTGCAATAACAGCGCCACCTAGGGTCAACTTTGGTGCCTGGAGACTATCCTGAACAATTTGGCTCAAGTTTCATGTCAATGCAAGTTGTGATTATAGAGGAACAGATAATTGCTGTTACACAGCACCACCTAGGGGCTAAGTTTTGCACAGCCACACAGCAACCCATGCCACATAAGGTCACCAAATTTGGTGTTGGTGCGTTTTCACAAACATTTGTTAGCTTATAATTGGGACATTTTGTGGCAGATCAAAATTTTCTCTACAAACTTTTATCAGCTTGGTCCAATGATTGTCCGTGCCAAGTTTAGTGTCGATCGGACTTCCCGCTTCGGAGAAGTTATTTAAAATAGGTATTTCAGTTTTTTCAGGAAAAAAAAGTCTTGGCGAAAATGGCTGTGGCCTGTACCAGGAGATTCAACTCGATTCCCCAAATGAGTGGCTATGAGGTTTTTGATATGCGCCTTTGTATGTGGGAGTTCCAGGCCCAAACACAATTATCTTGCTTATAGCGCCCCCTAGAGGTAGAAGTGTGCGGAGTTTTGCGTCTGTAGCACTTACTGTCTAGGCCAGTATCACTTTTAGCGCCAGAAGAATAATAATAAAAATCCTGACGATTACAATGGGGTTCCCAGCCCTACTGGGCCTGGGAACCACGATGCCTAACTAAAAATTTATTCTCTGAAGGACTCTGTTTCATCAGTGCTGTTTTAGTTCCGTCCTGCAACACTATGCTCAACAGCTGCAAGCCAGATAAGATCCTTAGACATCAGATAGAGGAGGAATGTCCTGAACACACAATCTACACACCGGGTCCTTGCTGAATAAGGTGACTAATGGGGTGAATGGCCTAGAGGATGAAAGTTGAAAGGGGCTTGCATATTATGATAATAGCTAATATAGATTTATGATCAGACTGGTGATGTCCTGCAGGTTATTCAACTCTAATAATGACAGGGCGGGTGTGGCTGGTATATTAAATCACAGGCCATACTCTGATTAGCACAGCATCCTCGATTGTAGATACATGAAAACAAAAGATAGCACATTGACCGAGGTCACTGAATTGCCTTAAAGGTCAGTTCACCAGATAAAGTTTTATGTTTTTCATATAATATGTCTCGAGTAATTGAAGAAGATAAGTACACACAAGCATTATCATTCCCACAGGCACCACATTACATATAAATCTCAGATCAGTGACAATAAGCAACAATTGTTGCTTTGGACAATGGACTAAGCCACAAGACTCAACAATTGGAAACCTTTTGTAGGAAAGGATACCTTACTGTTTCAGTGCTATGAGCAGCACACTCACCTTCTTTGCAGTGGGTTATTTGACAAGCAAGATTAAGCAAGAATACATGTCTATCGCTGCTGAGAGAACCATTAATTGTGATGAGGCAAAGATAAAAAGTTTGATTTATCTGACTCTGAAATCAACAACACAATGTGATCAATCAGGGGCAGTCCCCAAACTGAGATACGTTTCTGAGACACGCAGCAGTCTGGCAGTGGTAGTAAAATGCCTCATCTGCCATTTAAAGGAGACAATGCTTCAGGAGAGACTTGTCTCAATAGGAAGGGAAAGATGGGTGACTGCTGACAACCAGTTTCATCTCTTCATCCACAGACTAACTGGCTCTGCTAGCCCCAAATCCCTCCCCTTTATTTAGTAACAGGCCAATGACCGGTATTCACGAACTGTCAATGTACGGTCTCTCTTATTTTAATAGCCACCCCAACATAAATGCTGCTCAAATAAAAATCACTTTGCAAGACATTCTTGTGACTGAATTTCTCACAGCCTTCCGACACATTTCTTTTAGACTTTCAACCCATTCCTCGTGTGCTAAAAAGCTTCCAGCTCACTAATGTTCTTTGGTAGGTTTCCTTGCTGCCACTGCTTTCTCTAAATCCCACCAAATATTTTTCATGGGATTAAAAACCTGGGGACTGAGGCGGCCACATGAGGACACTCGAGGAACAATTCCTGAACTTGGACGTATGCTTGGGATCATTGTGATTTAGATTTACTCATTTATTTATTTAGCTGATGCTTTTAACCAAACTGATTTACAATTGATATATGTCAGACTAGGGGGTGACTTGGTGCCACATTCCTTTTCAAAATGGCCTGATATTTCAAAGACTCCATCATGCCAGGTACAGGGTGAAGTTTAGCAGTTCTTAAAGCAGCAAAACACCCCCAGGACAGATCCACCTCCATGGATGATGCTTGGGACAGTGTTCTTCTTTTTGTCAAAGACCTTGCCCTTCCTACGCCAGACATTCACTGAGCCATGGGTCCAAACAGTTCCAGTTTAGCCTCATCACTCCATAAACAGACTCCCCGAACTCTACAGACCTATCCACATTTTTTCGTGCATATTCAAGTATTAATGTGCTTTTTGGTCAAGAAGGTAGTGCAGCAAGGTTTCCAGGCACGAGGTCCTTGCTTGTTTAGTCTGTACTGATTTGGGGTTTTATTACTGCCTTCATGAGGTCCTCCTGCAAGTCATGGTTGATTCCCATTTGAGAAATGTTGCTCTTTTCTTCCCACATTTTCATTATCAGTTTATCATTTTAGCCTTTCCAGATCAACATCTGAGCTCACAAAAGGTTCAGGAGCCACTAACGTCTGTCGTTCAAGTGTTCACTTGGACCTTAATTGCCTGAGTTTACGATAGAGTTTACAAAAACAGTTTCAGTAGGTTGTGTGTGTACCTGAGGTTCATGTCTCCCTGCAGAGCAAGGGCCAGGATGTTGGAGAGGCTTCCACCAGGACAGCAGCCGCAGATCAGAATCACTACAGACGTAATTTCAGCCAACTGGAATGCCTACAGCATGAAATAATAATAAATTGTTGCCCATGTGTATGACTGATAATAATGTCTAATAGTGATACCAGTGCTGATCTGATTGATTACGGAACACTGTGAATCTTGATTGTGCATAAATAATTAAATAATATTATATATGTATTAATAATATTATTTAATAACATTATATATAAATAATAAACAGTGTTGGGGAGGTTGCAGATCACAAGTTACCCTATTTAAAATGTAATAGTAGTGTAACTATTTCAATCAATTTATCAAAGTAATTTTAATTACTTGTTGATTACTTTTCTAATGAATGATTGAACTTGAAATGAAATGAACTGTTAACCATTTTCAAAAGACAGCTTGAGAGGCAATTTTATTAACAGACGTGTGGCGCTGCAAATTCAAACATAAGAACCAATAAAAGCATCAGAACAGCCTCAAACTTTACTAAACGGCTGTAATGACAAATGAAGACACTGTGCAGATGAAAAACATGCAGGCAGCAAAATGAATTTTCTCCATATAACTTAGCTTTTTACAGAAAATATTCAGCTGTAACCCCCAATGTAATCACGAACATTTGCAAAAGTAACTTTAATTTAATTACACATGTTTTCCAAGTAACTGTACAGTTACTTGGAAAAAATGTGTAATTAATTGATTTTGTAATTACATCCCGTAACTAAATTACATGTAACTAGTTACTCCCCAACACTGATAATAAAAACAATTTGTTGGAAATGCTTAATTTTTCCTGATTCTTAGCTGTTTTGATCCACAAAAGGCTTTCATGCAGTCTGTTAGTGTTACTATTTCCTCTTTGTCTTGTGTTGTTATTATGCAATTTTCAAATGTCTTGGGTTTTTTTTTCAACAAGCAGTCGATAACCTAAAAATATTCAATTTACACTGACATAAAACAAAAAAATCGTCAAATCTGAAGGCTGGGCCTGGGAATATTTGTGCTTTTTCCTTGAAAAGTGACAAACAAAAGAAATTTCTTTTCTGTCGATCGACTAATCATTTTCAGCTCTACTAAACAGTACTTAACCAGCATAATGAGATACATTCTTTTAGACTGCAGGAGGCCTCACATGCCTCCTGTATATCAAAATTGCAATGTGATTATAATCTTAAATACCAGAACATAGCAAGAATACCAACCTTAGCTAAGCAAAACGCTGTCAGAGGCATAACACCGTACTGGGCCAGCACTGCTATCACCACACCCTTAGGTTTCACTATGTGACTCTGGAAAGAAGAAAAAATGGTTGATGGTTGACATGACTGTAAAGACCTTCTATTTCCTTAATAAACACAGATCATTTACTTGCAGGTGGATATGAAAAGACAGCATGCTGCTGAAGTCACCTTGATCTTGGACACCTCCATGGTGCATCCCAGTGAAACCATGGTGATGAATAATACAATTATCATAAGTATGTTGATTGTTTTGTCCATTATAGGCGACATCATAGCCGTGTAAACTGAGCTGGTGTTAGCAACCATCATGTTGACCAGGAAGCTGTCATTTTGCCACAAATCTGGATGAGGGAACAGATCCGCTGCGTAGTCCAAGGTGCCTTCCATGTTGGAGCAGCACGAGTTGTAATCCTCAGACACACACAGGCACAAGCATGACCACAATGGAAGACAGAGAGAGACATCACAGAACGAATGTTGAAATGAAATTGGTCCACAAATGTAACCACAATGGTTTCAGGATCATGAAATGCTTCTCCAAGCTTCACGGTTTTCTCATTATGTCACCCATTATCCTACACTTCAGCTGCTCTTTCTCATTATACAATCAGAAAAAAAAGAATCAGAGCATGACAAGAGTGACACAGACAGAAAAACAAAGAGAAACAAATCCTTTATAACACAGCAAGAAACACTGGTTTTAGTGTGAGACTGTGCCCCCCCCCCCACACACACACACACACACACACACACCCTAGTTTACTTGCTTAGTTTAGCTCAATCCCTGAATGCCTCTGACTCTGGGGAAGTGGAAAAAGAGTACAATCCCCCCAAAACTACTGTATCTCTGAACTCTCTTTAACCAAATCACATACATTTAGGATTTTCTATGTGATCTTCTTTTTAAAATGAATATAATTTTTTTCACCTCCGTTCACTGAGCCTACCCTAAAACAGTTTGGAGACCCCTGAGGAGGCCAGCATCCCACTTTGTAAACCTCTGTTCTAAAGAAATATGGAGATCCTGAAGTCAGATGTATATCCTTTAATTGTTTAAACAAATAACTCATCCATGCTTTCTACAGTGTTTCCTTTGGAGTGTCCATTGTCTCCGAACAGGCAGCAAGGTCACTGTTATGTTGATAAGCATTTCAATCAGTGAACATAAAGAGCATAATCTTTCAGTTCATAGTACACATTATATGGTCCTGAGAACCTTTAACCTAATGCTACATGACATGTAGTTTTGAAACACAGTGTGCTTTCATTAGATATTCATGATTTTACACTTGTATGACATTTTCAACATACATTTTTGTTTAAATATCAAGAACATTAAGACAAATGCTCTAAAAGTAAGAAAGACATTACACACATTTTTAGAAATTGATTAGACCTCTATCACCGTAAGGCACCTGTAGCAGAAAACACTGTATGTTTGTTTATACAGTTGATACTTGCATGTGTTTTCCGCATTTGTAGGATGATGACTATACCTGCACACACCAGCTTCCCAACATGCAGAGAAAACAACACTTTACTTTAAGTCCCCCTATTTAGCATTTATACGCAGTATATAGCAGTTGATAAATGGTTTTATAATACGCTAATTGTTTATTAATGACCAGTATTTGTCAACTTCTCCTCTGAAAACATATTTTATATTAATAATGTTACTTGTCTGCTATATTATCAGTCATTATCTGTTAATACACCAGTCTCCATAGGATTTACATTACATTACATTAATAAATGCTTATATTTGCTTACAACTACAAGGCAAGTTATTATTATTCTGAGGAATGCACAACAGTGAAATTTGGATAGAACTCTGATTAAAAATGGTAAGACAGACCTACAGAATGTTTAAATAAAAGCTACACAATTTTAGCAGCAGTTGTGAAACATTTAAGATATGAAGGACGTGCGTCCTGCTGTAGGTGTCTAATTTAAGTGATCACAACAAGACATTTCCAATAAAGTCACAAACATTTCTCTATTCACTTATAACTATTCCTTTTTTAATACTGATCATTTTATTGATTTAACCAAAAAACACTAAGATATTGGATGTTCAGTAACTTTTGGCTGACGGTGTAGATACATGTTACTGCAGCGAGTCATTTAAATCTGGCTAATCTGTTAAAGACTGAGGAAAAACACACAGCACTTGCTTTTTTTTAAAAACCTCACTCTCCTTTGCGCTTCAGTGACAAGTTAACCTCCATCTCCAGAGTAGGCAACCACATCCTCCCTACTGGCATGCTCACATGCTGTGTGCAGAAAAATTACCTTCACTGGATTTCTCATATCTATTTTGCACAAAAAACATGCACACGTATGAAAAATACCACAGAGATTTATAAATGTGTCAACTCCATACTGACTTGTTGACGCTTCTGAAGGTGAGAATTGCACACCTATTCTTTGGGGTCAATTCGTACAGAATAGAAGAAAAAGTGCATTCCCACAAACACATATCCCATCTTAACATGTAAAACTGACAGATTTGTTTACAGTTCTATTGCATACATTGAGTTACCTGTTGGGCCAGAGGTTCCTCAACTCTGCTCTCCTCTTCTCTCTGAAACAAAATCTGGTCCTTGTGTGTAGGCTCTCTCTATTTTTGTCAGTCACAAATGACACCTGGAGGCTTCTGGTTGTACAGAGGTGCCATCTAGTGCACAGTTTACTTCTGTAGCTCAAGAGAAACATAAGAGACGTCTACAGCAGGAAAACTCCTCAGATCTGATTTAATGAAAGTGAAAAAGTTAAATTAAATCAAATTAAAACACATTATTTGATTAAAAGATTGTTTGTAGGAGGTCAAAAGATGGCCTTGTGCTCATAGGTTTCATTTACACTGGGGACATTGGGGACATGTCCCCACCACTTTTTGAAATGGCTGATGTTGTCCCCAACACTTTTTGAAAGCATTTGTAAATATTTAGTTTGTTTCACTCTGTGTTTCTGAGATTTTACTTTTGTTAAATGTTGACTTTAAGAAATACTCTCTCTGGTAAATTTGTGTCTGGAAGAACAGATGTGGAAATTTCTGAGGAATAAGATCCTGTGAAGATGTCCCCAAAGCTCTTTGAATTAGTTCAAATTGTTTACTAATCACCACAATGAGTCACAGAGAGGAAGAGAAGAATATTATCATCTATGTCCTGTGAGAGTACAACTTGTGATGCATGTCATTATCTGCTGCAAATTAAACTGCAACAGCTTTGCTTTTAAAATGTAAAAGTAACTGTAAGTATGGCTAAGGGTTCAAAAGAATTAGACTTTTCTTAGTCAAGCAAAACAACATAAAAGACTTCGTCCTCTTCAAGTTCTCCATGGTGGAGAGGAGGTTGTGTGCCCCCCAAGAGGCTGCAATTTTCATTACATTTCACAATAGAAAACTGTTGGATGGAACAAACACACAGTAATTCTGCTTTTACTGGTGCCTGAACAATAGAGAGGCTTAAGTGCTAGTTTTCGGATAAGAAACGGTCAACTCAAAGTGGCCACCTGTCGCCAAAGACAGAGTCAGAATTTGTCAAGAGGAGAGCATTAAAAACACAAATGGATGATCTGCTCATTAAATGTCTACAGTCTTGCATTAAGGCTTGTTGGCGACAGCATTCTGGCTAGCCAGCAGATTAGCTTTTTGCCAAGTACAAACTCTGCACATGATCACAAATTACGCTCAGCTCACAGATTGTTACTCTAAAGCTTGTGCCAAGGTTCCAGATAGCTATCAGTTTGCAGGGCAATTCTGCTGCAAAACCCTCTGCAGTCAATGAAAGAGGAAAGTTCTTATGCATGTAGCTCTGTGCCGGGCCAGAGAAACTCCTAAAATATATTCTACATAGCTATGGGACAAATTTATGATCAAGGTAAATCCAGTACATCGGTTCCAAACGGAAGTAGTTTTATGTAAATGAAAATATTGTGGAGTAGCTCTGCCAATTTGAAAGGAGGAAAATAAACACAAAAATAGGGTTATAAATTGGTGTAAGGCTGCTATATATATGTATATACATATATATATATGTATAATATATATATATGTATATACATATATATATGTATAATATATATATGTATATACATATATATATATATATATATATATATATATATATATATATATATAATATATTTATTGTGACAGACAAACTCGAGTCAGCGGTAACCATGAACATCATGTCCTGCCATTAATAGTGTGTGAAAAGGCAAAGCAAGTCAATTTGTATAGCCCAAAATCATAAATCACAAATAAAGGTCCTTCATAATCCATACAGCATACAACCTGTTTTTTTTTAACTTTGATTCGAATGAGTAAAAAGTCCCCCCAGAAAACCCTTTCACAGGGAAAATTAAAGAAACCTCAGGAAGAGCAACAGGGGAGGGATTCCTCTCCCAGGATGGACAGACAAGCTCTATACGCCATGTGTACAGAATAGATCAACATAATAAAAGACCTGAGCCACACAACCGTTTCTCCGCCACGGAGACCTGGAAGAGGATAGACTACACAAACACACAAGAGGCAGAACCCAAGCACACCAAAAGAAAAGAAAAGAACAAACATACACAGAGGGAGAGAGAGACATGGACAACATGCACACAACAGAGAGAGATAGAGAGCCAAGAGAAAGACAAGAGGAGAGGCTGAATCCTGGAGGACAAAGATCCAGATTCAAACACCTGGTGTGAGGCACCGACAGCCGGAGAGAGAGGGTACCCAGGACGAGATGCCTGAAGAGAAACTAGGGAGAGAGACAGAAAGATAGGCACACAGCTTGTACGCTCATGTGTTTATGAGACACAAACAGATGATAGAGAGATGCAGAAAGTTTACAGAATTCTTGTCGTACCAAGTACCAATCTTAATAGAAAAGTAGTTAGCAAGCCAGCAGAAAAGTCTAAATAGATTAAAAGACATGGATAAGTGGTAAAAACGCCCAGCTTCTGCCCCTCTAAGTGGCAGTACAGCAAATTCAAACTTACCAACAAAAAGAAGCTAAACCCAAATATTCACAATGTCTTGTAGCTTTAAAGTAAAGTCAAATGAACATGACATTTGGAACATGACACGCGGTGTCGATGAAGGGGTACTTGAGCAACTGGGGGTTTATCAGACAAACAAAAGGTTGGAAATCACTGCAATAGACCAAGATGTCATATGTCGTCGTCCCCCTCTAAAGTGGAATTACTGAACAGACAACATTCTGACCGACTTGTTAGTGAATCACGATGAGTCATAAAGAGGGTAAAAGTTAAATGTAAATATGTCTCTACCCCAGTGAGACAATCAACCCTGTTAGTCATCCTCCGCTGCAACAATGGAATAAAGATTTGGCGGAGTAAACTAGTCCAGCTCTTGTTCCACAAAGATGTCACGTGTGGCGTTCTTGAAGCATGTAGCAACACAGCAGTATGGCAGTATTTTATAATCCAGTCCTTTTAATTTGGGGCTGAAAATCTCACATGGGATACAAAATGACTTCTGTTTCAAATACATCATCGAGTTTATCACTGTATAACACAAAAAGCATTCATTGTGAAATAATACTGTCAAACTAATTCACATCAAAGGTCATACAAATATAAATAGTAACAAATGTATAAGTATTTGAAATAAGCGATTGCTTGTAAAAATGTACAGTATTACTGTAAATATATAGATAATATGCTGAAGTTTATACAAGGCAGC